TTTAGCCGACCAGTACCACAGCCTTGTACATAATATCCACAATATTTACGCTTTTATTTTAATAAAATTTACATTCGATAGCCTTTAAACTACATTAATATGTTTTTATTTGCCTGAGCTAATTGCAAATACACCCAATACATAATGCGTCTATTAATTATGCGATTAAGCAAACTGTAACGGGTGTTATGGTTGAATACAGTTTTACTAAGTACCTGTAATATAAATCACTTTTTGGAAAATGTCACGCGTACCAAAAGTAATTAAAATCAGAGCTCACGTATGTACCTACCGAGTTAACAACAACAAAAACAACTACAAGAAAAGTGCCATTCCACTTGAAATAACTCCGAGAGTGACCTAGACGGCCGCATTATACATTCGACTCTTGAAAAGTAACTTACCATTCACTTGTACGTATTTTATACCTTCTACAAAAGGTAGAGCTAATTCAAAATTTCATGGGTCTTCACATGCACGAAGGACAGATCTTATTACGTTACGAAAACATTGACTAGGCTGTACCTCGCTATACAACCAGGGATGGAGTAACGGGCATCTTTTGACTTACCTCTATAGTGTTTGGAAATATATTCCAGAATTGGAATTGTCTTAGGTGCTTCATTGGTTTATTAGTAATAAATTGGTTGTTTAATATCGAACGATCCGAAACTCTCATGTTTACTTTGATGCTTCAAAAAGAAGTTTTGGATTTTGAACGGTATGCGTTGGGAATATTTAATTCATGTTCAGTACTTATAAGAACAGAAATTCCGTGGGCCGAAGAACACTTAAATCGGCCGATAATTCCGATCAACGAATGATGATAAAGAACAAGCCGGACTTTCACTTTCCGCTGAAGCAGCGCTGACGGCAATGCAATCTTGTAAGAGATAAACGAGCCAATTTATTGCCCACTTCGTATGTGATTCCTGACCCACTTTGAATAAAAATACACTTGTAGAAATATTTTTTTCACCGTTTACACAAAAACACTTCGGTGCTTTTTAACCAATAATTTGAAGTCAAAAATACTGATACGTGATACAAAATTATCCACGCTAAGTTTTAGATATTGCATTCCCACTAGCTATCGCTGGTGGACGGGCAGTCCTTCTGACTTACACTGTGGAGCAAAGCCGAAAGGTTATGCAGAAGACCTTCTTTAGTCTGGAAACAGACGAAATAAAGTCAGAAAAGAAGTGAAACATTTTCTGTGGAAAATTATTAGGTACGTCCCCTAATTTCTTGTGGGATCAGAGCCAATTTGACGGAAAATATAAAATTTACTATTAATTTAAAACCACTTGCCAACATTTCGGATAAAGGATAAAAAAATGGACGAAATGTTGAAATTACTTTTTGATTAGATACAGTGTTTACCCCTTAACTGTGATTTTGATTTGAACATTCTTAAGGAAAGAAATTGATACCACATGTACCATGTATGTTTTGAGCTTTCAAAAGCTGCCTTAACTTCCACGAAACGTCGAAGTGATTTGATTTCACACGAAAATCTAAATTGTTCAGGCGCGTAAAAGAAAAAGAAGAAGTCGGTGTTGTGGCGGCGTGGACTCAGTGTTGGGAAGAAGACACACAACTTAATATCCACACGTCATTAGCAGCAGAAAACATGTAAAAGAAACTTACGTAACATACGCCTAGAGTAATTCGGCACGCCCGGTAATTATAACTGCGTTGTAGTCAATTTCTTTTTATAGTTTACTCTACGTATACCTAGCCAAATTAATGGCTTCTTGAAACGCTTGAAACTAAGACTTTCGTTCTTTCCTCGGCTCCTTTAAAGATGTTCATACGTTTATAATTATTATCGCTTTATGGTGTTTCTCTCTTTTTTTTTTGATATTTTAATCGAATATTAAACACAAATTTTTGGTCTCTATGATTGTATGTATTATAACTGGTGAATTATTAAGAAACTGGATTCCCAGATTCTAACCATGTTTCATTGATAAAATCCCCATGATGGATTATGGTGACATCAAAAGTATTCGACGTTTCGTCAAAGGCAGAAGGAAGACGTCAAAACAATCATCAACGCATGTGGTAGTTATCCCGCTGGAATCTGAGGGAGTTTACCAGATACTATGCTCCTGTGAAGATGTCTACATCGGGGAAGCAGGTAGATCCATTGCAACAAGGATGAAGGAGCATGAGAAGTTCTTTCGACTGAAATAATATAGCAAATCAGCCTTCACAGGACACCACATCCAATTTGACCAGACTACTACTTTCCCAGGGTTATCAAGGAATCATTTGGGATCCACGAATACCTGAACAATTTCAACAAGGAAAATGGGGTAGATATTGAAGAAACAACTGTTTAAGCCACTGTCAAAAGTCTCAAGTCAGTTCAACAACGGTGTTGGAGATCCTGCATCAGTAACGAGAAGTTCCTGAAGATAAATTTTGCGATAAGAGACGAAACGTCGAATACATTTGACGCCGCCATAATTCGTCATGGAGATGTTATTAATAAAACACGGTCAGGACCGTCTTTATCCTATTGCAGATCCTAAGCACATAAGGATAACGGAATCCCTATGGCTTTAACAGAGGACTATTTTGTATTTGAAGGGCCTCAACACGGTTAGAATCCAGAAATCCAATTTTTTTCAGACGTCAGCCTTGAAAACCTGGGCAATTGTTAAATTTAACAATCGATTATTTCGATTAATTTAAAGAAATAAGTTTCGTTTAATCGAAACAATCAATAAATAGAAACTATTTTTTTTATAAAGAAAATATGCAAGTGGGTATATGTTTGTATGTTATGTTATTATGGATGTATTAGACTGGATATCTTCATATATGTATACGTATATGTAAATTTTTCCTTCATCTGGTCCCACAGACTATCAATTGCTAACAAGAAATGTAGAATGGAGGCGCCCACCTTATCTGAAATCCATTAAGCATAAACTAAAATGCCAGATTGTTGTTGCGCATAATCGACATCTTTTGACACCCACGGCCGCGCAATTTTTTTTTTTATTTTGTTCTATCGTTCCTTTTCGTTCTTCTATTTTCTCAAACTGACCATATTAATATCAACTACCAGTTTCGTATCCTCGGTTAAGGCGACGATTACACTTCAATGACGACTCATGTGTCTGAGTTGCATGTCGCCGTTCGTTTATTACATTACCGTTGCATATTTAATGATACACAAGACGGAACGTGTGCGTCTCTCGATTGAACAATTATCGTGAAAAACGAAAATGCATACGGTTACTTATTATTATAAATCTCTTTTATTTATTCGTGGCGAACGTGACGGCGCAATATTTTTCAATTCAAACAATATAATAGAAGTAAGTTTTCACCTTGTTTATGATTATTATGCGTGCAAAATGAAAGCATATTCATTTAAATNTAATTCAGTTATTAGTGTTGACTAAAGGGAAGAGAGACTGGGGTGTTCGCAGCGGCCAACAGTTTGCATACAAATCAGTGGTATTCATGCAGCGGTGACGTTATATGGCTACGTAGTTTACGTAGATAACTAGTGCCTACTCTACTAGAAATTGAATTTTCAGTATAATATTTCATATTAAACTAACTCACTTCTAAAAAGATGTCTAAATTGTATGTATGTTTAAACAAATAAATTACTTCGTAAAAAATGAAATTAGCCTTACAAATTTGATAACAATCACGTCAATCATAATGTTTTGGCGTAGATCTATTACAATGAAATTGTGTCACAATTTAAAATCTTACGTACATTCCTTAAAATAATTTACGTAATTTATGGTAGATACTGTTATGGGTCGGTTTTGTTTATTTTTTGTGGCACGCACGAATTCTTGATTAAATTAATCTGCTCGTAATGCTTTGTATTCTGTTCGACAATGGAACCTATTCCAATTTTTCTTAAACGTTTTATCTAAATAATGTTACAAAACAATTTTGTGCGGCACATAACGAATAAACGAAAAATTATTGCACATTAGAATTGCTAATGAATATTCCATATAATACAATTGGTTTTGAAAATGTAGGAATTCCAACCGAGGACGGTCTCCAGATCCGAATCAGAACAACCTCAGTTCATCAATTGGTTGCGAATGCCTTTACCAAACGAATAACTGTTGTGGTTTAAAAGCAAATGAGTATTTTATTACTTAAACTTTATGTTATTCGTTTTCGGTGATTTTTAGTATTGGTCTTTTTTGGGTACGTTCATCTCCGATTTTCCCATACGTAAGTTGAAAGGGAGACATAGATAAATCGACTAGAGATAGTAGGCGCTATTAATACACCTTACATTTTAATGAAGAATTAGCATTCTGATAACTTATTGGTACAAGAACGAAAACAACACATAGGAATATACCTGACGATAAATGTATTTCGAGCTCTCAACTACCGCTTACCATCTGCGACTATTAACTTAACATGATGTAATCCCGTATGCCTTGTATGCGAACCTATTACGTTTGTATCTATGAATGTAAGTTAGTGTGTGTGCGAAATTGCTGCCATAGATGTTCATCTTTCACACGTTTTTGACCCACATTATAAAGTAACGTCAATTAGCATCACACAAAATGAATACTAGCAATAATCCTATAACGATTTTATTTCACTAAACAGCTATTTATAATCATTATTGTTGTTTATTTTCCCAAACCAAGCATCTCACTCAATTACAATAAATATTAAATGCTTGCCAAAGCTTTTGAATTGTGAACTGACGCTGTCTTGATTCAGGTCTAAAGGTCGTCTTTGGTTGGAGTTGCTTCAGAACGTTTCGCTAGCACCAACCGCGAGCTTCTTCAGAGATCCTGGCTGCTGGATGTCCTGACGGAAGAAGAAGCTCGCCGCTCGTGCTGGCGAAACGTTAGGAGCCAACTGAAATCAATGACAACTTTTAGACCCGTGTGTTATCTAATTAATAATTGTCGTAATGCAGGTAGGTATGAATGATAATTTTTGAGGTCGAAACGTTGAATGGTGTTTTGGGGGTGTTGCAGGACGTTGACGATGACATGACGACGATCTAAGTTAAAGATTAGGGAGCAAGGAAAGGATTTAATTGGTGGGGATGCCCGACGTTACCCGCACCGATTCCCAAAGGTCGGACGCGTCTTCGACACTGCGACCGCGGGTTTCCTTCAACCGAGACGTACATGTCAAGCGAATCGGTACGAAACAATGCAAAATAATCAATTTACTTTATGTTTGCACGTCAGTAATAATAAATAATAAATAATCCGTAACAAAAACTAAAGTACGTAATGTAGGTACATCTCGTGATTTTTCTCATTAACACAATTAACTGGACTGTTTGATGAATGTTTAATGTTTTGCATCCTTGCGTGGTTTTAAATATAGACACAGTAGTGTAACGCATTTTGTATGTGTGTATGTATACAACAATAACGAATGCACTAAGTCAAATAACAAATATGTAACCATTTAATTAACTGTTACTTAACAACTGTTTTTATTCGTTATTAGTTTCTGTTTTATTTCTGCTGATGTTTGACCTCCATCAGAAGAATGAGAAGACCAAAGTTAGAGTCTTTTATAATTGTCCTCAGCAGAGTTCAGTATTTCTAAAAGCAAAAAAAAACTTTAAATATAATAAAAGCTTTATTTTAGTATTGTATCTGTCGACTATCGTCCACTTTATAAAACACATAAACAGTTTGCTTGGGCATCACGCTTGTGGTCGAGATCGCTTTTATATAACATAAACCATGTATCGAGCACTTGTTTCAGATGCAATCTCGAACAGTACAAACTGTTAGCCCGTTGTCCAGGTCAGGGTCAAAACCTACATAAGTATACTACAAATGTACTCTCTTCCAACACTAACTTCAAAATCAAATTGTTATCTACGAATTTGATTGAAGTAGTGAAGCAATAAAACTGCCATAATTTATACAAATTCCTTAGGGCACGTCAGTCAATTTTAGACCCAACCGATACCGTTGTTAATGATAATTTCATTATTCTTTTTATAAACGTTATCTCACGATTATCCTCTTAAATTGTTTTTTTAATTTCTTATCTACACGAGTAATTTTTCCGTTTATTACGCCGTTTCATTTTACGTAACAAGGAACATTGCAAACGTATAAATGCACACGAGTATGTGATACACGTATAATTTTCTTGCACCACTTCAGTTTTATGTTCTGATCCGACGACAAATCGTTATATAACGCTCCTTATACAGATAAAGCTATTTAGGTCGCATACTAACCAAGCCAACGCAGTTTTTTTTTAATGCGTTCCTAAAACCAGGAGAAAAGACTCGCCGACAGTCCCATTTATTGTACTTAACGTTTATTAATTATCCGTCATTTCAACATAAATTAGCAATTTTTTGAAACCAGAGTATCATAGCGTGAACTTGTCAAATTATTTATGGGCCTACTTCTCAGTTGCTGTCTTTCTCAATTGATAATTTCAGTGCCTGCATGTTCATCAACAGAAGGTCGTTAGTAATACGATAAGTAGAAGGATAGGCATCACTTCTACTTCCTTACAAATCCGAAACTATAGGGTTGTTCGGAAAGTCATTTCGCTTTTTCCCGACAGAGGATTTAATTGTATTCTTTTGCACCCAACTTCACATTTAAGCCGCATAATTTTTATATGCTTTGAGAGCTCATATAGCAAGGCTTGTGTGTGAAAAATTCCAATTAATTCTACGCAGTAGTTTTTGGTTGGTGCCCTTTTAAATATGGAGAGCGATAAGCAGCATTTTCGACATATCTTACTGTTTTACTACAGAAAGAGTAAAAATGCTGTTCAAGTCAGAAAGAAATTGACTGATGTGTATGGAAAAGGTGTGTTGACAGTACGCCAGTGCCAGAACTGGTTCGCTAAATTTCGATCCGGCAATTTTGATGTGGAAGATGCACCACGTTCGGGAAGGCCGGTTGAAGCTGATAAAGACGCGATAAAGGCATTAGTTGATGTGAACCGGCGAATAACAACACGTGAGATCGGATTGAGGTTAAATTTATCAAATTCAACAGTTTATGACCACTTGAAAGGCCTGGGATTATCCACGAAGCTCGATGTATGGGTTCCCCATGTTCTCACAGAGAGAAGTCTGTGTCTCCGCATTGACGTCTGCGATTCGCTTCTCAAACGTCACGAAAATGATCCGTTTTTGAAGCGCATCATCACTGGGGACGAAAAATGGGTTGTATACAACAACGTCAAACGCAAGAGGTCATGGAGCAAAAAAGATGAACCGGCTTAAACCATTTCCAAAGCCGATATTCACCAAAAAAAGGTGATGCTGTCTATTTGGTAGGATTTTAAAGGAATCGTTTTTTTTTTAGCTTTTGCCGGATAACACGAATAACGATTAATTCGGAAATCTACTGTCATCAGCTGGAGAAACTGAATGATTCACTTCAACAGAAAAGGTCAGAACTAATAAACAGGAAAGGTGTAGTGTTTCACCAAGACAACGCGAGACCTCACACAAGTTTGGTCACTCGCCAAAAGCTTTTACAGCTTGAATGGGATACAATGCTACACCCACCATATTCTCCAGACCTGGCACCATCGGATTATTATTTGTTCCGGTCACTCCAAAATTTTTTAGACGGTAAACCTTCACCTCAAATGAGGAGGTCAAAAACCTCCTCGATCAGTTTTTTGGCAGCAAAGAGCAAAAATTTTATGAGCGTGGAATTATGCTACTACCAGAAAGATGGCAAAAGTTGTTGGACCAGAACGGTCAATATATAATTTAATAAAGTATTTGTTTATTATACGAAAACTGTCTTTCATTTCCACAAAAAAAAACGAAATGACTTTCCGAACAACCCTATATTTGCAAACTGTCATGTAATCTAGATTAGGTACAAATGGTTTATACTCAATTGGGTTGGCGATTTAAAATCATTTCAAATATAATTTCATAAAACTGCCTGAAAATAATTTTAATTACCTATAAACAGTATTAGGTTGTTGCTTTAATTGTTACGAAAGAGAATTCTTTTGAAAAGTTTAGAAGGAAACAGCAGTGTACTTAATTAACATTAAAAGAAGTGAAGTCATGATTTTAATTACGATTTTTTTCTTTTGTATTCTTTTTCGTTACCTTCGTGAATTACTCTTTGCTACCAGACCTTTTGCAATTAGTTTTATGGTTGAATAAATTTTGCAGTGTTATTTATAAACTTGAAGTTTCGCGCGAAACAAATCGGTTTTCTAGGTAGGTAGATGGTTAGTTTTATTTTATCATTGTTACAAAAGAAGAATTGCCAAATTAAGAAGTTATTGACAAATTAATTAGGCAAATCTAAAAGGATAAAGAAAAATATGTCGGAAAACCTAAATCAATTCCTTTAGGTTGTTCCTGATTTATTTAAAACAAAAACCATTTTGGTAGAAAACTAGACCTATACACTCAGGTCCTTGCAAAAATAAAATTTCTTAGTTACCTGGTAATGTCGTTTAGGCGTCCTTGCTGACAAGTAATTATGCTTAAATATGCAAATAACAACACTACTTTTTAATCTATACATCGAAGACGCGATCAACATCATTAAAGACAGTACAACTGTAGGGATAGATATAAGGGAGGAAAAAGTAGGGAAAGAGCGAATATAAAGATAGGAGACGAAAAATTAGAAGAAGTGGTCGATTTTAGGTATCTAGGAAGTCAGATAAGTCAGGACGGAAGGAGTAGTAGGGATATAAAGCAGAGGATAGCGCAGGGTCGAGTCGCCTTCAATAAAAAAAAGTCACTTCTATGTTCGCGAACGGTTAATTTAGAAAGTCGAAAAAGGTTGTTAAAGGTGTATGTTTGGAGTGCGGCGCTGTACGGGTGCGAAACATAGACAGTGGGCGCGGCGAATAAGAAAAGGTTAGAAGCGTTCGAAATGTGGTGTTACAGGCGGATGATGAGGATATCGTGGGTAGAAAAGGTTAGAAATGAAGAGGTATTGGAAAGAATAGGAGAACAGAGGACTCTATGGAAGTCAATAA